CCTCGTCGTCGTCGTCGTCGTCCGCCTGTGATGGTATCGAACAGTAACTAGGCAATAGAATTGCTAATAATGAAATGGATTATCTATTTGCACAAACTTATGCTTATCAGCAGAAAACAATCAGGAATAGATCAGCAATCAATCGAAGTAGTATTAATATTGATTGAATTGAGATGATACAGAATTGGCGGTAAAAGGAAAGAAAAATGACAAGAATGAAGGAAGAACAAGAAGAAGAATGCTTAAGGGAACAATTCCCAAAATTGAGCTAACAAATTTCTATCCTTCTCCTCTCTGTTCCTGGCCATTTTATAGCCAACTACTAACTAATTCTTCAGCCACTTGGTCCAGCTTGTCCTCGTGATCCTGCTAACAGAATTGGTTGCAGAACCATTGCAGATCCACTTGCCCACTTGAGCTCACGTTTCTTGAGCATTCTCCCAGAGAAGGCGTGATTATGAACTCACGCCTTCTTTTTGCTTCCTTTGCTAATTCCATGTTTTCAGCTTAATTCTTCTGTTTCATGACAATTGTTTCCCCTTCAAACAATCTTGTCCTCAAGATTGGAAGTCAGGGAATTCATTCTCAATTTTTTCTGAATCTTCCCATGTAGCCTCAGCTGGTGTGGTTCCCCACCAGTGGATGAGCCACTGTACAGCTGCTGCATTTCCTTTCTTGGTGATTCTGCGATCCAGTATAGCTGTTGGTTGTACCCTCAGATGTCCTTTACCATCCATGTTAGGCAGTTGAAGCACAGGAGTTGCTTTCTCTCCTAGTTTCCTTTTTAGCAAAGATACATGAAACACAGGGTGCACCTTGGTTCCCTCTGGCAATTGCAGCTTATAAGCAACTTTTCCTACCTTCTGAGTAACCTGGTATGGGCCAAAGTACCTGGCAGACAGCTTGGTGTTGCTTCGCAGCTCCACTGACATCTGCCTATATGGTTGTAGCCTCAAGTAGACCCAATCTCCTACCTCAAAAGTCCTCTCACTCCTGTTCTGATCAGCATAAAACTTCATCCTATTCTGAGCTTCCTGTAGGTTCTTTTTGAGTACTCCATCCATTATCTGTCTGTCCTTTAGATGTTCCTCTACTGTGGCTACTCTGGATTGGTTGTATGATCCCAGAGCTAGCTGTGGGGGGGCCAATCCATACAGGGCCTCGAATGGGCTCATTTTAATGGCTGTGTGATAGGTGGTGTTGTACCACCATTCAGCAAGGGAGAGCCAAGCATTCCACCTCTTTGGTTCCAAGTGTGCCATACATCTAAGATACATTTCCAACACTTGGTTTACCCTCTCAGATTGGCCATCTGTTTGAGGATGATAAGCAGTACTCAACTGTAACTCAGTCCCCAACATGGTAAAAAGTTCTGTCCAGAAATGGCTAGTAAATACCTTATCCCTGTCGGAGAGCATGCTCAGAGGTACACCATGGATCTTGCAGATGTGGTCCATGAAGAGTCTAGCCACTGTGGGAGCGTCAAAAGGGTGGGAGAGACTGATGAAATGTGCTGTCTTAGTGAATCTGTCCACCACCACCATAATTGTGTCCTTCTTTTCAGATACTGGCAGTCCTTCAATGAAGTCCATAGTTACATGACTCCATGAGTACTGAGGTATAGGAAGAGGTTGTAATAGTCCTGGATAGGCGTTGTGTTCATCCTTGCACTTTCTGCACACATCACACTGTAGTACAGCATCCTTGATAGCCTTGTGCATCCCTTTCCAATGGAACAATTGTTTGGCCCTTTGGTAGCTTGCCTGTATTCCAGAGTGTCCTCCCAGCTGTGAGTCATGTATGGCAGAAATGATCTTCTTCCTGACTTCTCCTTCTGAACCTACCACTATCTTCCCTTTGTTCCTGAGTATACCATCTTGGTAGGTGAAGTCTGATTGGCTATCAGGAGTCAGCAGCAGCTGTCTGATGATGTCCTGTGTTTCTCCATCTCCTTCATAGCTTCCAATTACCTCCTTAATCCATTCTGGGATGACACAAACCAGAGCATTGCAATCCCCTGCCTCAGAGTTGGCTCTCCTGGACAGTGCATCTGCCACCACATTTTCTCTTCCCTTTTTGTAATGAATCTCATAACTCAGTCCCAGAAGCTTGGTCAGCCATTTTTGTTGGAGTGTTGTAGTTATCCTTTGCTCCAGCAGGTACTTGAGGCTCTGATGATCAGTTTTTATTATGAAATGATGTCCCTCCAAATAATGCCTCCATTTAGTCACTGCCATTACCAAGGCTAGTAATTCTTTTTCATAGATGGAGAGTCCTAAGTTTCTTGGACCCAAGCTCTGGCTTAGGTATGCCAAAGGTCTCCTGTCCTGCATCAGCACAGCTCCCACACCTCCATAGCATGCATCAGTTTCAATTATGAATGGTTTGGTGAAGTCAGGCAATGCCAGCACAGGGGTGTTGCTCATTGCCAACTTCAGCCTTTGGAAAGCCTCCTCTGCTTCTTCATTCCACCGAAATCCATCTTTTTGTAGCAGCATAGTGAGTGGCTTAGCTATGGAGCCATAGCCCATCACAAATTTTCTATAATAACCTGTCAACCCCAGAAATCCTTTTAGATCTCAAGTCTACTTTGGTGAAAAATTTAGAGCCCTGCAATTCATCAAGCAGTTCATCTATCAATGGCATAGGAAATTTATCTTTAATTGTCAGCTCATTGAGCTGCCTGTAATCAACACAAAATCTCCAGCTACCATCCTTCTTTTTCACCAATAGGACTGGGGATGCAAAAGAGCTGTTGCTAGTTTGAATAATTCCCATCTGTAACATTTCTTTGACCAGCTTCTCTATCTCAGCCTTCTGCACATAAGGACATCTGTATGGCCTGTTCTTGAAAGGTGCTGCTCCTTCCTTTAGTGGAATGGCATGATCATGGCTTCTGACTGGTGGCATGCCCTGTGGCTCATCAAAAATGGACTCAAACTGCACCAGTAGCTCTCTCATTTCTGTTGGAATCTGTCCCTGGTCTCCTCCTCCTTCTTCTACCAGGTAGATTTGAGCAGTGATTCCATAGTTCTGTTTCCTTTTCCATTTGGCAAGCCTGCTTCCCTTAATGGCTTTCAACTTCAGCTTCTCTGCCTCCCCTTTTAGTATTACTGGTTTTTTTTCTTTCAAAAACTTCATAGTTAGCTGCTGGAAGTCAAATTCGATGGGGCTGTGCTTGGCCAACCAGTCCACTCCAAGAATCAAGTCACAACTGCCTAGTTTGAGTGTGTTGAATTTGTGATGGAAGTTGTGTCCCTGCATCTCCCAACCTACCTCCTGTAGGAGTTGCCTGGATTCCAGCCTCTCTCCATTAGCCACTTTAACAGTCAAGGTTGTACCTGCAGTCTGCATCTTCAGATCCTGTGCCAAACTTTCATCCATGAAGCAGTGGGTACTGCCACTGTCAATAAGTATCAGTAGCTCCCTTCCTGCAAGTTTTCCCCTCATTTTGATGGTTTTGTGTTCATTCCCCCCTGCTAAAGCATGAATGGAGACCTCAATGTTTTCTTTGAGGTTACCACCTTCTGGACAGTCAGCACACTCCTCAGCACCCTCCCCTTGCCCCTCTATTGGGCTGACAGGTTCAGTAGACTCATCCACCATTATGTAGTGAATATGAGCCTGTTTGCAGGTGTGTCCTAAGGTATAAGGTTCAGCACACTTGAAACACAACCCTTTCTCCCTTCTATAGCTAAACTCAGAGGGGGTAATTCCCTTGTAGTAATTGGTTGATGGTCCTCCTGGTTTGGTACTTTTGTTGGTATAGGGGTCTGGTCTCTGGTTGTTAGGCCATTTCATTTTGTTGGAGAAATTAGTGGTGTGTGACAATGGTGGCAAGGGAGTTTTCTGTATGCCCCTACTCTGTGCTTTCCTGATGGCTTCAAGGTTCTTTTCCTGTAGCTTAGCAGTCTCAATGGCATCCGCCAATGTTAGTGGTTTGGTCATTCTGACCATGTTGACAACTTCCTCCTTAAGGCCACTAAGGAAACAGGATTTATAATAAGCATCAGGTTGTCCAGGGAGTGAGATCATTACCAGTGATTTCAGCATCTCAAATTTTTCCAGGTAGTCTGCTATGCTGCCTGTTTGTACCAATTTGTTGAACTCCTCGATGGCCTCCTGTGGATCTCCCTCTCCAAATCTCTCACAGATTGCTAAGGACAGCTCTCTCCATGGGACTGCTCCTCTTTCAGAGTACATCCCATGGAACCAGATGTCTGCTCTATCCTTGAGGTAGAGTTGAGCTATATCAGTTTTCATTTCTTCCTCTACTTCATATATCTGGAAATATTTATTAGCTCTCCTCACCCATTCCCTAGGATTGGTCCCATCAAACACAGGGAATTCCATCCTAGGCAGTCTGGATCCTCCCTTCCCTGCACATTTCTCCTTAACTCCTTCTATGATCTGACCATTTCCTGAGTGGCTGTCCCCTACCTCCTTCCCCTTATCATTCAATTTGGACATAATTTGGGCCATCATGTTCATCATACCTTCATATTTTTGGTCTAAGTTTTTGATGGCTCTTTCTGTGCTCTCCTGCCTGTGCTCTATTGCCCTCACAGTCTGTTCTACCCCATCATGCTTATTAGCAAATGTTCTTACCACACTCCCCAACTCAGTGAGCTCTCTCCTTAGCGCTTCCTCCTGAGTTTTTGACATCCCGTTGGCTCGTAGCTCTGCTCTGATACCACTGTGATGGTATCGAACAGTAACTAGGCAATAGAATTGCTAATAATGAAATGGATTATCTATTTGCACAAACTTATGCTTATCAGCAGAAAACAATCAGGAATAGATCAGCAATCAATCGAAGTAGTATTAATATTGATTGAATTGAGATGATACAGAATTGGCGGTAAAAGGAAAGAAAAATGACAAGAATAAAGGAAGAACAAGAAGAAGAATGCTTAAGGGAACAATTCCCAAAATTGAGCTAACAAATTTCTATCCTTCTCCTCTCTGTTCCTGGCCATTTTATAGCCAACTACTAACTAATTCTTCAGCCACTTGGTCCAGCTTGTCCTCGTGATCCTGCTAACAGAATTGGTTGCAGAACCATTGCAGATCCACTTGCCCACTTGAGCTCACGTTTCTTGAGCATTCTCCCAGAGAAGGCGTGATTATGAACTCACGCCTTCTTTTTGCTTCCTTTGCTAATTCCATGTTTTCAGCTTAATTCTTCTGTTTCATGACACCGCCGCAACTTTCAAATTTCAGTGATGTCTACTGCAAGGGTGTTTAGGGGCACTAGGGTTTTACTCGAGGCAGCCAAGGCTGCCACCAAACACTCGTCGTCGTCCTCGACCTCCTCCTCCGCCGCAACTGCTGCAGCGACTGCTAAGAAGAAGCCACCAACTGGCGCAACCACCAAAGCTGCTGCTTCTCGCTCCAAGTCAACCACTGCAGCGGCTAAACCGAAGCCGAATGCGAAGCCGAAGACGAAGCCGGTGAAGCAACCCCGGGCTCCTCCGAGTCCCAACTCTGGGGTTTTTAAATTGACTCCTGTCTCTCCTGCTCTCAATGACTTCCTCGGCGTCTCCGAATCCTCCCGCTCCGATGCAGTCAAGAAAGTCTGGGAGCACATCAAACTTAACAATCTCCAGGTTCTTTTCCTTTTTCCTCTCTGTCTTTTCCAGCTTTAATTTTGGAGAATTTAAATTTTAACTCACTTTTGTAGTTGACAGTGGCGGAAATTATGACTGTTCATTGATTAGGGTTATGGTGAAAATGAAGTAGTATTGATTTTTTTCCCCTGATTGACTTATTTTATGATTGTTTTGTTACTTTTAAGTTGCTAGTTTGTTGGTTTTATTGCAATACTGTGGTTTTTGCTTCTCTCTTAGGTGGTCCTAATTTTTGCAGATTGAGGGTATATTTCTGATATGCTGCGTTGTTTTGTTAGCTTGAGATTATGTAAGAGCCAGTTCTACATCTTGTGGTGCAATGGGAGTAATCTGTACTCGTGTTTATTTGGAGCTATGCTGATTAGAAGAAGAACATGGAGTTGTTATTTGTGAGGTGCATTGTCTGATTAATCTGTGCTGGATTACTTATGCAATTTTAGGAAGAGTTGAAGAAACATTAGACAGGGGGATGAAAAATTGGAAATAGATTTAGGGAAGAAACTGAGAGAGGAAATTTCTACTTGTGGATACCGGAAGTAAACTTCTTTATGAAAGATTCTTCCATGTTTCGATAAAGTGTAGGGGCTTTTGAAAATTAGACTCAGCCAAGTGAGTAGACTCATATAGCTAAAGAATAGTTATGAGATATGGACATGATCGGACAAATACTCCGTACTGAAATTCTAATGTGTGTAATTTTGAATGTCTTTGACTAAAATCTAATGTTATAAATATTTTTTTCCTTTTGGTGGGGTAAGATTTTTAGAAAATCACATACATTGTTTTACAAAGTTCTTCCATTTTTTAAGAATCTTAAAGTACTCTCACGTGGAATGTGAGATTTTTTGTTGTTCTATGCATGAAAACCAAAGGTCTTTGACACGAGGGAGTGTGGTAATCTTCAGCTACTGTTGCTGGCCTAAAGAATGAAATGAACAAGAAGAATAGAGATGTTTGGCTTTTTGGATATTCCCTTTTTCTTGGTCAGGTTATCTATTTACATATGAAAGTTTATAAGTAGAATGCTATCTATTGGAGATGAAGGAAGTAGAAGTGAAATGCAAGCTTACCTTTTGACTGCTGTTTTCCCCAAATTGTGGGCCTTTGTTACCTTGTCCTCTTTGTGAAATGTTACTCAATTTCCTTTTCTTTCCTCGTATAGTTTTGATACTGGTTGCTTTTATGATGCTTTAATAGTGTTTCTCCTTATAACCTTTACAAACATATAGTTGGACATGGATGTAGGCCACCAAATTTATGCCGGTAGTTGATACATTGGACTGTAAATAATTGTTCATGACACTGATGCATTCAAATTAGATACTTTCAAATGGACACTGATTATTGAATGGTAACATCAATGTGATTGTCTACAGAACCCTGCAAATAAGAGAGAGATTTACTGTGATGACAAGCTCAAGACACTGTTTGAAGGAAGAGAGAAAGTTGGGATGCTGGAGATTGCAAGGATACTCTCTGGACATTTTGTGAAGACTGGCTAACTGCAAATGGATTTACTAAACCATTGGGATGACAGTGCAGTTTTTACTTTTTAGTTATTAACTTGTGGCTTGTGGATCTGCCCCCTTTAGGATAGCACGATATGTGTTGTTTGAAATTTCGGATGAAACTTGTGACTTGAATCTTTATGCTACTCATCCTGTGTATTCTATCCCGGAACAACTCGGTGCTTCACTGTCTTCTTAATATTGTTCTCCATGTTTACAAATTTGTTTTCTTGACAATGATGCGATTGCTGTTCATGGATATCAGTGGCTGTAGAATTCAATAGACAAAAAATAGCTGATTTTAAACCTATTTGCATTGCAGGACATCGCTATTGTAGCACTACCACCCATTAGGTTGTTCAAGGCCCTGTAATCTGTTTCTGTGTTAATCCCTTGGATGAGAATGGCTGGAGCTGGTGGTGAGATGAGATTGCCTGTCTATCCTCTTGGAACAATTCAAATGTGGACGTTTAAGCGTGATGTAATATTAGATCTAGAGCTGCTGATTGGGGTTATTTGGGCATCTGATGCGGGCACAGAGTGAAGGTTTCGTAAGGTCCCTTGTAGTGTTAGATAACAGTTTTGCCTTGAGACAGGTCCCTTGGTCATATGGTTCGAGTTGTTCTTCATTACTTTATGGGAGGAACTTGTTATAGCCAAAAATGAAAATGACATAAGAAAGGCATTGTCCCTTTTTTTTTTTTAGGGTAAAATTAAAGGCATTACCATGTTGTATGGTATGTATTGAGCCTAAACCCATTCTCTAAGACTACTTAAGATTAAAGCTGCTCGTTATGGTGCCTGTTAGGCTGTTACCTCATGATTACCATCCTATATCATGGCCATTTTATTAAAGAGATTAGAGCAACAATTCTGATCATTCAATCTGCATCAATGTTTTCAGTAACGTGAAATTAAGCATTACAGATTGGTTAATTCTATTGTATGCCCTTATGGAACATACTAAGTACACAAAATAATTTGTGTTTCTTGGTTAGTAAATAGGAGGCTTTCGTTTAGAATACCTTTGATGCTTTAATCCATCTATACTTTAGGTGCAGTTTCCGACAAAAATTCTTGGTTGTAATTATATATATTAAAAAAGATAATGTATTACAAATTTCTCATCTAAATTTAGAGTATTTTGTGGCAAACTATTATTTTTATAAAATATAATATTTCGTTCCATTACCTTTTTTTTTTTGAGTAAATAGGATTCCAATTTATTAGTATTCCCATCAAGTATAGTGGCTACAATAGTTGAAATGATAGAAGAATTCTTTTTTGTTCATCTGAAGTTTATCAATTTATTATCTTCTCAAGTAATTCTAAGCCGGAATTGCAGTTTTATATTTTAATATGTCTTATTCTTTACATGAATCATATGAACAAAATCTTAACTTTTTAGTCATGAAACATTTGATTTATTTCATAGGATATGGTTCAATATTTACTTAAAGACTATTTGTAACAATGCATCTCACTCTTAATAACCCCAAAAAAGAATAGAAAGATGATAAGACAATGGATCAAGCGAATTAAAAAAGAAATGAAATTGCTGACAAAGATAACTATTGCTTTTCGACATTTTAAGTATGAAATATTTACATTTATTATTTATTTAGGGAATAAGAAATCCAGAAAGGTAAATATATTTAGAAATTTAGATCAGCCCCACAACAAAAAAAAAAAAAACCTTCATGCACTACAAAGATAAGCACTTCGACATTTTAAGCATGATATATTTCTAGTTATTACTTATATTGGAAATATAGAAATCCAAGAAAGGAAAATTATCTTAAAAATAAGCCTTGTTTGGATTGCCGGTTTTCGTCGAAAAATTACGTCGTTTTCCGTGATCACATTTCCCTATTACCTTTTTCCCTCACATACATCAAATCGCTACAATAATTTTTTCATGAAAAATTACGAAAAATGCAATCCAAACACGATTCACTTCACAACATATGTATCTAGAACCGATGTTTTGAAAGGCGTATTTGATGCAAATCCTGGGGCGAGCCCTGAGACGAGGCGTTCCTGACCGCCCTGGGCGGTCAAATGGGGCGTTAGTGTCATGGGGCGTTCGCACTGACTCTTGGGGTGAACGCCTGGGCGTGTGGGGGAGGTTTTTCTTTGAGGCGTAAAAAAACAAATACTTTCAAAATTTCAGAACTTTTTTAAGCTCCAAAAGAACATCTAAACTAGATTTTCTCTTCACTTGTTTAAGGAAGTTGAGACCCTCAAGGTGAACTTGCAATTTCTGAAAAACTTTTCTTATGTTAGCCTACAAATTTAAGTTGGTGAACATGGATATTAGTTTGGAATATAATGATACAAAGGAGGTGAAATTTCAAAATTTTGTACATCACACTGAGGATACTCTAAATAAATAGGGGAAAGACTCTCACTTTGATAGTCAAAACTCACAAATATCATTTGCTAGTGCCCCGGAAAAGAGTTTTCGCAACCATGATCATTAGTTTGCGGGATGACGTCAAGTCTTTTATGAAAATAATTATCAAAATTTACTGTGATTTGTTGGATTTTCGCTCATGACATAACATTAGTCACACAAGCAGGTTTTACTTTTAGTTATACAAACAAGTTTTACTTTTCTTATGCAGACATAAAGTTATATATATTTTTTATTTTATCTAATCCTTTCTTTGGTATTTTTAATTTTATACATATATATATATATATATACATACACACATGTATATATATATATGTTGTCTTTTATATTTTTAAAATATTTAAAAATAAAATTTTGTGAGGCGTTTTGTCCCGACTGTGTGGACACAAAACGTCTTGTCCAATGCTTTCGCATTTTAAAACATTGTTTAGAACTATTAATAGCGATATGTTTGTCTGTGGTATCTCCATTTTAAGGAGCAATTCTTATAATTATAGCAAAAAGATAAATGCATAGATTTACTATGTCTATGCATTAGTTACTTTTTCCAAAATTGTGTTGGTAATATCTCGTAAAAGGGATATGATTTAACAAAATTTTCACCTTCCATCATCTGGTAAGTATTTTATGATAAAAGTCTCACCTACCAACTTACCATTCTTCAAGATTTCTAACCAAAAAAAAAAAAAAAATTTGATGACAGCCCTTCACATCACCAGCTGTATGGAGTCTAATGTTATAGATGCGTTGGCCATAATGATAGAGAGCAACTATATGGAGTCTAATGTTCATCATGGTGAAGAAGAGGAGGCTGAAGACGATGATCATGATAAATCCATGATTGGATTCATCTACATCGATTTAGTAATGGTCTACCAGAATAGTAAGTATGGCAATTTCAAGACTACTACTATTTGTCAGCATCTTCAACTTCTATGTTTCTGTTTGAGACTTTTGAGCTATATGGCTAGTAAAGAACTGCTCTTGACAGTAACATAATCCATCCCTTAAAATTTCAATGACTAATTTGGTGGGGTGGGGTGGGGTGGGGTGGGGTGGGGTTGCATTGGCTCATCTTGGAGCATGATAGATGTTAGTCAGCACGTAGATCAAGTTGATATATGCATCAGTTAGCTACTTTGGACTAGAATCACTTTGTGAACAAGATTATAAAGCATGCACCAGTGACTTTTCTGCAGTCTATCCTAAAACATCAACGACTCCAGATGGCCATGCATGTTGCATATACTGAGCCAGCTGGCTTTATGCTTTCAATTTCCAAAAGGCTTTTTGAGAATTTTAAGTAATTCTAGCTTCATCCGTTCAGTTCCTTCACTGTTCTTGTATGTTTTGAACTCCCTCACAGGCCAAGACATTGTTTTCTGGGGAAAGCCAAGACAGGAGTGATGAGATTCTCTTTGGAATCCCTTGCTGCAAACCTCAGATTCGCCAACAATTGTTCTTGGCAGAAGACTTTGGAGCAGGTGTTCGCCTCAGCCTTGCATCCGGAAAATCCATAGAGAGCAACCGAATCCGGAAATTAAGCAAAACATGCACTAGTGTTGTTGATTATGCATATGATCAAGAACTGTATAATTTGCCACACTTTGGATTGTGGCATCTACACTTTTGATGTACAGTTATTGACTTCAAAAGAAAAGAAAAATGTGCAACTGACGGTTAAATTATTGTAATATGACTTGTATCAATTGTGTTGTTTCTTGCTTCATCAGATTGTTGACTTGTAAAATTTTATTACTCTCTTAATCCCAGAATTTAAAACATTGAAACTCGGTCCAACATAGTAATCCAGAAAGATGATGGTTAACCTGAAGACAAGATTTGACATGGCCAACATTAAAAAAAGAAAATGCTGCTAAATAGATAAGAATGGGATAAAAGTATCCTAGCAATAAGAGGGGAAAAGTGAAAAAAGAACATAAAGAGAAAACATTAAGATAGCAAGCAAAATTTCAACTGCAAGATATTACAAAATTGAAAAATTAGATATTCATGCTTGCCAAGACAAAGAAACTGTGGATTTGTTGCTTCACCATGGAAGTAGATATTTACCATTTGACAATCAACCCCTCTTGGATAATGGGGGATCAAAGAAATGATTGCTTATCCAATTTACATCTCGTGAATCAATGTACCAACATCATTGATACAAGTTTAGTCAATCTAGCCAGTATGTAGCGAGTGATTTACCATCCCAATCCAGCAAAGCACCTAAAAATAGCTAAGAATTAGAGTGCTAGGAAACAATGATGTTTTCCTTCTCCGTCCAGTATTGTTTGTGTCGAATCTGATTAGTGAAGGAGATAATGTATCCATCGTTTAACAACACCAGGAGAGCCATACCATGGTCTGCTTTCATCATCAGAACCAACAGGTGAGTGGTACACACCTTCAAGGCTGATATTCAGTGCTCCTTCCAGATGTGCTGAGAGTTCTGGCACAACTCCATCACCCCATGTATCTGCCTGGCCACAAACCTGAAACATACTCACTGTTAATCACCAACTTCAACCAAGGGATGATGCTACTCCAATAAGTTCACACACAAATGCAAACACACCGTAGAGAGAGAGAGAGAGAGACATGACGCTCTTCTAAGTTCAGAATTCATCAAAAAGGTTAAGGAAATTGAGGTAGGGGAAAAAAGGAATGAAAGAAAAAGTACCCCTCCAAGATTCATTTTATTGTTTTACTATGCTTCATACCAAATATTACCTGCTTGTAGCCTTGACCAACAAAGCGAGCACGCCATGTGGCAGCTGGTGGTTTAGATGTGTTTACAACAGCAATCTCAGAATTTGTGTGGTCAATGCTTACAGCCATTCCAGAACTATCATCATTTGAGCCAAAGAAGCGAGCTCCTTCAATGTACCTGTCAATTGAACAGCCCCATTCGGCATCCAGATTTAGGAGGATTCATATAAGGTTTGATTAGACAAAAGCTTTTTATATAGAATAAAAAGGTTTACATCCTGTCAATGTTTGGGCTTCTTAATTTGCATAATATACATGACGACATTTCACTAACACAATCTTCACCGATCCACAAACTGTTTGGCTACTCTGTTTCATCTTGCAAATATTGCTCTCGATGAATCTTTGAGCAGCTTGACAAAAGTCATTACTTTGGCTGTTTTCATTATGAGCATTACTTTTACAGATGTCCGAATAGCAAAATCCAAGAATTTAATTTCGTACAATTATGTCAAGCTCAGAGAGAGAGAGAGAGAGAGAGAGTCCACAAACAGCAAGACACAGAAATCTTTCTAGTAGTTAGGAGATGAAATAAATCACTGCATTGACATGGTGCAATCTCCACCACAGACAAAGGAGGCTACAGCATGCAGATAGTCCATAAGAAAAAGCACCTAAACATGCAT